CGATCCCGAAAAGCGGACCGACAATAAACGCATCAACGAAATTAATCGAAATTCAAAGGCCTCGCGTGACAGATCTCTAGAAGCTCCCACACGGGTGTTCCGTTCACGCTCCCGCCTTGGATCTGCATCCCACTGCCTTGTGGGTCAGACTATTGAGTCAAAGGCTCCGGTTAGGGTTCCCAAAGGAAAACATCTTCATCGGTGTGGGAAACNGGTGGGGGGGGAGGGGAGAGGGAGGAGGACAGTGACACACCTACCAGCGGGCAGCGCGAGGCTAGCCACAAATGCGGTCTGTTTACATAAATCGGGCTTGTAAAATCGAACGCCAGCCGCTTCAGAGAACCCTAATAGACAGCTAGCTTGCTACTGCAAGTACGTTAAAATAGGTAAATACAGGAGGAGGTAACTGAAGAGTCAGGCTTATCTAGATTGGATTCAGAGAGCATTTGCTTTTCGTCGTGCAGTATTATAAGGGAAGCAGTGTAATACGTTTTTTCAATCGCTTGTTTCAACTTGCGCTGCATCCGCCCATCATTTTGATCCCCTTGAAACGGTGTGGTGAGAAAAGCAGCATGTTTGAGGCGGTGTCACCTTGTTCTAGTTTATTCAACGGTGCTCGATACTTTGAAATAAACGTTTTTGGGGTATCTATTTTTGTGCAAAGCCGTTGATATGCAGCGAACATCGAACCCTAACGTTTCACTGGAGCAGATTATCCTGGCTCTAGAGAATAAACTGTGCACCGACGATCGTTTGTATTGTATTGGACAAAAACTTCTAAAATTAATATACTGTACCGTCCATGTTGGCTTGTGAAATATGGATCTGATGAGAGATCCATCCTCTTTTATTGTCAATTTGACATCCAGGAACTGCAAGGAAGATTCGGTTTCATGCTTTACCATGGATTTAATATTCGGATGTGAACGGTTGAGTTTTCTAAGCATTACTTGTGCTTGTGGGCTATCATTCAGTATGACGGATATGTCATTCACGTAACGACCGTAGACGTTTGAGCTTTTTATGCATTGCCGCAGTTTTGCATTCTCCAGGTTTCCCATGAAGATATCAGCCAGCACTGGTCCTAGCAGACTACTCATTGCAACTCCTTCAACTTCACGATAATAATCTCCGTTAAAACAGGGCTGTACATCTCTAGTACACAGAAGTAGTAATTTTCGGAGCCTACATGTGGGGATGTTGACATCGTCGGCATACGAACAGACAACGTCCACAGTTTCACAAAGATGAACACTAGGGAATAAGGATCGAATACCATATCACACCAAGTGTCTATGACAAACATTAAGATCACGGATATTTTAAACACATTCAAACGCATCTTTCAGAGTGCAGTTCGAGAAGTTTCCTTTCACTGGTTGAATAAGTATGACTAGCAATAGAGCTAACGTCCGGTGAGGTGCACCAATCATGGACAATATGCGCCTTAATGAAATATAATCATTGTGACCTTTGCGAAGTCCTCGCCCCAAACACTGCAGTGATTCCACTCCCTGCCCCAATGTCCAATCCGGCTCATATTAGTGACCTTTGGCCTTCGTGTGTGTTCGCCTGTCCCCAAACCTGTCACTCTCTTATCCAAACGTGATCCGCAGGTATGCACACATCCGACGAGATTACCACGAAATAGTTGAATTCAATACATCCTGTGATCATGACGCTTCTTCTTGCTCTCATGAAGGTAAGATTCTCCTGGATTTTGAACAGCTGGGATTTCTGACACAATGAGGTTGATCCCCACTGATCAGTGGTGATGATTTTACCGAAACTTAAAAGATAATGATCTCAGTTTTGAATAGAATCCGGTTTTTTCATCTATCGTCTCGCATCGTTTTGTTTTTGAGTGAGGTCTAGAATACCGGCTCCTCCAGTCAAACAACCGCTTCCGCAGTATGTCAATTCCCATCAATTGTCCCAGTTCGTCTATGAGTGCTCGGCGACATATCTAGGCAAAACAGAGCGACAGCTTAGACAAAGAGTAGCCGAACACATCCCTGTTTTGGTTAACAAGCTGGTGAACGAATCACACCCGAATGATCACGTTCAAAGATTAACCCAGTGCATACGATGGTCGACATTCAAGAATAACATGTTTTAAATGTTCATGGG